CTCCCCCCCCCCCCCCGCTTGCCCTGCCTTGTTTCTCTGCTTGGCTTCATTTTTTGGCCTCTTTTGGATGTGTTCTTCATTGTGTTGACCTGATTAGTCAGGCACTTGCATATCTTGACTTTGCTTAACTATTTCAGTTGCTTTGCCAGCCTGAGCAGAGCAGAGGTGCATCTAATCGTAATCTAGATGAGGTGTGTAGGTATCTTTGGGTCCTAGAGCTATAACCCACAACCGACCTTACTTCTAACAGCTTACTTTTCCCAGAGGGAAAAATGAAATAAACTAGGGTTGTATTGCTTCTTACACCATAACAATGGCCTGAAATTACCTCAGGAGAGAAATATGAACATGTTAAATAACTTCATTGTGTTAGACGTAATCGCAGAGCATCTCCTTTTCCGAGTGGTGAGTGTGCGCTGCCCAGACTGAGCAGGCCCATCACGGATGATGCTCCAAGTAGAGAAGCCAGAACAGGCTGCAGATCTCACGATCTGCGTTTCTCTTGCGTGCACGGTGGCAGAACTCCGCATGGCTTCTGGGAGACGGAAGCACCCCTCTCTCCTCTGCATTTACGTCCACTGGAATGGCTTCATACAGTGCGTAGCGCTGCATTCGCCAGGTTCCAGATTTTTCTGTTTTAGACTCTAACGTTCCTTCAGGTATAATCTAATGAGCAAGATGGTGATTTTTTTAAAGTAACTTTTTGGTGTTCTCTATAACCTTGTCAACAGGCGTTTTATAATCTAGAAAAAAAGTGTCTCGGTTTTTCTGCATCCGTGGCTGGAGTATTAAAAAACGAAAGCAGAAAAGGAGTTAAAAGTATTTTCAGCAAAGCTAATTGAGCTTTTAATATGCCATACGGCTTTCTCCTTTCACTCTGCTTTTAAATTACTTAACCCAGTTTAAAACTTCTAACAGTTTTTGGTTTGCAGAGTTTGAAGTTACTATCATCACTGTGCTAACAAATTCTAAACTTGAAAAAAAATGCACCATATACAGGATTGTTTAAATACAAATAAATATAAAGGAGGGAACACAATATTACATCCCGCAGAATGGTAAATCTCTACTGAAGTCCCTAAATTGGATCATGAAAACAAGATTCTAAGACCTCACTTCTGCATAGAAAACATAAGGAGAATGATTTGGCTAGATCTCCGTAGAATATTTTCTCATCTCCTGATTTATTCCCGTTTTAAATGTCTGCCATGTACTAAAACGAGTGTAACAAGAAACCTTTCCAGAATTTATTAAGCCTAGTTTTTTGTTGAAAATGTCCTCCTCCTTGGGACTAACAGGATGGTCAAGAACAGCCTTTTTTTCCAGCACGAGAACTAGCTCATACATTACGATGTGAAACGTACAAAGACCTGGGTTTCCGGGTTTCTTCTGCTCCCTTGACCAAATGGAGCCATGTGGCTCTTCCTTGTGACCAGATGTTCAAGCAGACGGTTAATGTGCAGCGCGCCTGGCTGGTAGAGGTGATTCCACACCTGGCCTTGCCTGCCTTGGTCACCAGTACAAGTTCAGCCTCCCTTTCTTTCTCAGAGAACGACTTCATCTAAGCAGAAAGTGCCAAAGGGCAGCACAGGCCACTGCAGACTTGTGCGTTCTCTCCTGCCTTGCTCATAAAAGTTTGGAAAGCTGGCCCTGAGGGTCAGCCCTCCTCTGACCCTCCACACAGAGCTGGGTTTTCCTCCTACGCATGCAGCTCTCAAAATACCCAAACTTGTGTCATGTGCATGTTTGAATCCCCGAATTCCTTCATAAAAAGAGAGAGAGAGAGAGAGAGAGAGAGGTGCGCCCCAGTCTGAAAAAGGTCTACCTGTTCTACCACTGTTGCTGATTCAGGGGAATGGGGAAGAGGCCGAGGCAGTGCCTGTGACTTTGCTGTTCCTTAGTCCACCGAAACGGGGCAGTGGCCATCCAGGACTGTACAACTCCTGTTGGGAAAAAGTCCTTCCGATTCCTCAGATAAACCGTTCAAGAGAATGGAAGAAGGAGAAGCCCAGGCCTTTCGCTCTTGCTAAAACTTGGAAGAAGCGCTGGGTGAGGCTGAAGGCTGGCTTCTGCCTAACGATCTGGGTCGCTTGTGGGCACCCTAGGGTGGTGACCCTTCGGGGCAGATATGGGAATAGATGGTTAAGTGACCCCTGGGATTTCTTCCTCCCTGGATGGTGTAAGCATTCTGGTATCCAAGCGTGAGGAGCACCACTGCTGCCCCTCCTTCTGAATCATTCAAAGAGCGCAAATCTTCCCACTGGTGGGAGGTGGTGCCGCCAGTCAGCATGCCCCGGGGTGCCAGGTGCCTTGAGCTGGCCCTGAAGTTCACCGTTGACTTGGAGCGTGTTCTGTGGTCCACTCTTCCCCTTTGAAAAGAAGGAAGAAACCGTAACACAGTTCTCACTTTCGCTCCTGGAAGGCAGCTGTGCTTACAGAGAGCTTAAGATCCTTCCCCTGAAGCCAGTAGAGTTGGCAAAATGAGGAGGCCACTTGGGGTAAATTTACCCTTTCCCGGTTCACGCGAGTTCTAGTCTGGTAGTGCTGCTCTGTCTGAAGAACAGCGGCAGGTTCTTTTGCGTAGCGCCACTGAGCTTAGAGGAGAGCGACTGAGTCGTCTGTAGAGGACCTGCACAACCAACGGGCCCACCCCTGCCTTGCCAGCGTCCTTTTTTTTTTTTTTTT